GCATGGGGCAGTGTTGTATAGATAAACCCACATTTGCTCTATTTTCAGTTTTTGTGGGTGTGTGTTCAGGATTTAACCTGATCTTTAAAGATGCATTGGAAGGTTTTTCTCTTATCTCACAATCTTTCCCTCTCTACCTTAGAACAATGTGTAGTCACTTCCATTTGAAGGGGTTTAAAGATGTACAGCTCTGGAAACTATAAAGCCTCTTAAGCTTTATTTCTGTGTTTTGGGTTTTTCTTCCACTTCTGCACTCTGTTGTAAAATGGTTTTAGTAGTTGCCATATTACCTGGCTTTGTTCTTTTTAATTCAGTAGTTATTGATAACAATATAAGAAGATACTGCCTACCAAAACTTTGGGTTTTGAAGAAAAAGTCATTTAGCTGTACTGCTGTCAGTTTAGTACAGGCTAGAACTCTGTGTGTGTGTGTTTTTATATGAGGGGAAAAGGTACATGTGCATCTATCTGAGTGATTAGATTAATTAATATTTGAGTTATATTGGATCATAACACTTCAGAATTAAACCACTGTAGCTGTTGCCCAATTTGCAGATAGTTTAAACTGGCAACATATGCTCTTCAAAAATTCAGGTGAAACCAGTGCAGCAATAATAGCATGTTAAATTTAACTGTCTCATTTTCTGCACCTTTGTTGTGTATTTATGCTACTAACAGGTAGCTCATGTTCACAACTGAGTGAGAGCAAGATCTTAATGTGTATGGGTGGTTGACTAGAAACAAATAAAAAAAAGTCCCGAACTGTATATTTTTTTTTTTGGTGATGTTAAAAAGAAAAGATTTGTCTTTTGTTTTTAAAGCAAGCCCTGAACAAGCTTTGATTTGAGTGTCAGACCTTGAAAAGGTCTGCCAAATCTGCCTTTTCTGTTGACAGCATTGAGTAGCTAGGATGGGACTTTCTGTTGCTGTTTAATACTGTTTTGTTAATGCTTAACTTCAATGACTAGCAGACTTGACATGCCACCCTTCCACCCCACAAGACGTTAACTTCTCTAATCTTCTCAGGTAGGTTATCATTGACACTTTGAAAAAATTTGGTAGCTTAAACTAAGGGATTCAAAAAGTGATATCATGACATGTCACAGGTGAAAACTAGAACGTCCATATGTCTTTTCAAGAGGGAATGAATTGGAGTAGAGTGTGATCTTCATAGGTTTAGGAAAAAGTAAAAGATAAGTCTAGCAGTGTTGGTCGTTAGCATTTTTCTGGCTAAAATGTAACATGTAAATACAACATCAGAGTTGAAAAAATTAGCACTTAAAGTTTATCTCTCAGTGATAATTTACTTTTAATTTAAAAAGCAGCTAGCAAGTGCTTTATTTGAAGTTTCTTCATTTTGTGGAAGGTAGGGGGGCAGGGAGAAGATATACCTTCACTTGTTTGTTTTGTAGTAACTTTCATTACTTGCTGTCATTCAAATGACTGAACATGGGTTACCTAGCACCACTTTGTTAAACTCATTTAAGGATGCAATAAATTAACTTTCTTGCCAAATAACACTTGTTGTTTTATAAAGGCACTTTTCTGATAGCTTTTTGGTGTGCTACAGAAATCTTAGAATAGCCTGAACTTCAGCAGGTGTAAACAGTTGAGCTTCAATTTAAATACTTTTAGCTGGAGATAACCTGTATTCTCTTCAGTATTAATATATGCTTGATTGTATCTTCTGGAGTTGTAAAATGTTCCAGAAAGCAACTGTGCTGAGGAAGTGATACCATCCCAGTGGAAGTGTTCTTGTTAAATCTTCAACCTTCAGGCACAGGTGTGTGGGAAGATCCTGTGCTGTTGACAACATCCTTATTTCATTCTTATAAAATACATGAATATAAAAGCAGTAGCTGTAACTTCTGCAACTGTTTTTGTGTAACAATTCCTGAATATGTATATGAGGTGATCGATTTAGTAGGTGGTTAAAGCTGTTGTTTCAGGGAACAGTTTCAGAGCTTGTTTTGTGCCCTCTGACCCTGCTCTGATGGTCCTGTAGGGGTTGGAGATAACCCTGGTTTAGGTCATATCATCATGGTATTTTGTGAAGACAGACCCGCACATTGCACTGTCAGGACTGTGCTGTAAACCAGATCAGGGAAGTGATCTGATGTTTGGTTGGTTTTTATGTATTGTAATTTTGGGGGCAAGGTAAAGGATTATTTTTAAGTTTTAGTTCTCGAGCTGGTGAAGCATGCCCCTCACAAGCCAGGGGGATGAGAGGGCTCTGTCAGCATTACTGACTTCAGGAGTCAGTTTTATAGAATCTGGGTCTGAGTGACATTGAGTCTTTTTTTGAAATCTAGGAGCAGCCTCTGCCAGGCTGTGTTTTGTCAGCACTTTCAACGAAGTCTAATACCTTTTGAATTGGATACAGTTTCTAGTTATGGATGGGTGAAAATTACAGTAGACTTTCAGGAAATTGTTACACAAAACTAAAATATTGGTTGTTTTAGATTTCTGCTTTAAAAACTCGTAAGAACAAACTGAAATATTAAATTTAAAAGCAAAATTATTTTTTCAAATTAACAGGTAGCAAAAGGGGAGAATTTGTAGTTTGAATTTAACTACTTGCTTTGTGGTATAAGTAAAAATAATATCCAAAGGATGTTTATGTATTGAGACCTTTTGTATTCTGACTGCTTTTTTAGTAGCAACTAAGTGGCTGAAGCTACTATTTGTGTTGACGTTCCTACTTATTTTTTTTAAGAGAAATTGTTTTAGTGGCTTCCTTTGTCCTTAATTGGAATTAGTATTTGATGTAATTCACCAGAAGATCTTTTTTAAAAAAATGTTTTCATTCACACATGAAGTCCTAAGGTCTGTATGATTTGTTCTACTGCTACCAAATTCTTTATTAGGTAATTGAAACCTCTTAGCTGACAGAAGCACTATCAGATAGTGTTCCAGACATGATTACTTAGGGATTCATTTTTAAAAAAAAATATACTATTTTTTAGTATTTTTTCATTGTGGAAAATTAGGTTTTGTTGATTTCTGTCAATTTTAAGTTAAGATGTTCTATTTTAATACCTAGTCTTCATGGCAATGAGGAATGAAATCCTGAGGAGACAGTGACAACAGATTACAGAAGTAAAAGCAAAGTTGTGCTGTAGTTTTTCCACCGATAATATGTGGTTAGCCTGGAAAATTGTTTCTGGTTTTGTATGATAGAAATAGTATATAACATGTATAAACATGAAGGACTGATAATACAGCAACATACAGGGGAATGTTATGCTTGCCAGGAATGGGACTATTGCATAAACTGCCAGTTTGAATTTTTGACTTGGAGGACTCTCTTTTCTTTAGACCTTATCTCTATGAAAGTTGAAGGAGACCATACTGATGATACAGCTTTTGCACTAGTAAAATGAATAATTAAATTCAGGAAAAAAAGGATTAATGAATAATCTGAATGAAAATATTAGTTATACATTTAGTATTAACAAAGTTACTTTGTACCTTTTGAAAGGGAGTAATCTTATGTAGTAAGAGTATGACTTTAATAATGCAGATGTAACATTTCTACATAAGCATTGCCTTAACTTTCAGGTAGTACTTGCTTTCATTCTTGGTAAGGCTTTTGGAATAGCTGTTGATATAATAGCCACATTTTCTGAAATGTGTATTTTGATGAGAGATCATAATGTTTTTGTTAGTTTCTGAAAGGTTGATTAAGTAACAAGTTGGTTTCAGAAAAGAAGCTTTTCAGTATGCTTAAAACCACTGATTTCTCATTTTCAAAAATTAAAGGTGGGGGACTAATACTAATTATTCAGAGGAAAGTTATCAATATATCAATGTAAAACTAGTATTTAGTGCTGCAGGTAACCTTTAGAGCTTTTTAAATACAGATTTAAGTAGTGTATTTTTTAAAGCTATGAAGTATATAATGAGCAAGACTAAGTGTTCTTAAGCTTAAAATTTGTCTGTCTTAAATGTTACGGTATATAATATATTCAACAATACTGAATATGTTTAAGATTTTTTTTTAATGGCTACTTGTTGTTGCTAGTATCGGTTCAACAGTTTTAACTATGTGGGTATAGCATGCAGTAGTCATTGAATCCAAACACTTGCATGTTACACAGGACCAAGTTTAGTTTTGAAACACTTGGAATTACTAGCCTTAAAGCTCAAAGTGTTCTGAAAATAAGGCTGTGTTCAAATGTGAACATCCCAAACAAATATATGCCCATTATGGAAAACTGCATGGCTGTTTTTCATCCAGGGTGCTCATCTAGGAAAGCTGTTATTAGTTCTCACAATATGATGATAACTTTGCTTTTGTATTTCAAGAAGTTATTTTGCATCATTTCCTCTCATTTTTTGTGGCATTGAAATATGGGGAATTGACTTGAAGTATCATCCTTGTGCTTGAGATTTGGCTCTATTTGGATCTATTTGTGTAGCTTGAAAAATGCAAGGCAAGGATGCTACAAAGGCTTGTAACTGGCCTGTTTACTAGTGAACTAGGTCCTTACAGGTTTAGTCCATTGTGGTGCGTTACTTGCATGAAGTAAAATGTCATGTTAAGGAAACATGAGGGATGTGGAGAGAGTACTGCTTATGTCCTTGGTACTCATGCTACGCAAAGTCTAGCACAAACCTGATATTCTCCCCCCATCCCCTAATGAAGCTGTTGTGTTAGCCAGCAGAGAAGTCGGCTTAAAGCTAACTGTGTGATGCTGATGGGCTCAAAATGTAGTAAAGCCTCCTTACTTAAGTAAATGTTTTGACTGTGTGAAGTCAGCTGATGTAAAAGATCACGCCTCATAGCACCTTGTAACCCTGCAATTGGTATTTAGAGTTGGAGAAAGGTAATTCTATTGTTGTCCTTAATAACACAGGTTTAACACAGATTGATCTGGGAGGTAAATGCGAACAGTAGGCATAACTTTTTATTTCCTTAGTATGTGTATCTTGTCTGCTACCCTGATGAGAAAAAATAATGAAAAGTTTTGTTTCTGTCAGTAACTTTATCTAATTGCCTTTATTAGTCCTGTTACAACCCAGGGATCACAAACACAGCAACTGCAGAAGCATTATGGCATTACCTCACCTATCAGTTTAGCTGCCCCCAAGGAGTTTGACTGCATGCTTACCCAGAAATTAATTGAAACCCTAAAACCTTATGGTGTATTTGAAGAGGAAGAAGAACTGCAACGCAGGTGAGTAAACGTTCACCCTAGCAGTGGTTTTCCCCTATGCTGAAGTTCATGTAGTTGACTAGTGAACCCCAAGCATGTTTATGTTCTTTCAAATTCTTTCTTAAAAACCTAGTGGAATATTGATTTTTTTTTTTTTTTTTTTTTTTCCCCCTCACCATAACAGTAATACCTTGGAACTCAGAAAGGAATTAAAATAACCTTTTAAATTTCAGAGGCTGGCTTGCATTTCTTTCTCTTCATAACTGTGTTGTTGTAGTGGCTCCTGTACTTTTTTCCCCTTATTAAGCCTTCTCAAATTTTTTGCTCTCAGTACTGCTTTTCACTGTTCTTCTAGGTGTTTTATTTTGAAAGTGAGTAGAATTCATATACCTAAAATGTGTATAGGCCTTGCATACTTGCATTTTTTGAGTTTAAATCACTCGAACATCTTTAAAGGGGAAAAATAGTGGGAATATTGTAAGAGTGACTTTGTTTCAGTGTGTAAGATAACAAGATCGGTAATTAGATCTGCAGTGTTACTGTAGTTGACTTACTCTGTAATGTTGATCAGTCTTAAAAAAAGTACGACTAGTTTGATCTAAGTTCATGACCTGTGATTCTACTGTTTTATCAATAGGATTCTAATTTTGGGAAAACTGAATAACCTGGTAAAGGAATGGATACGGGAAATCAGTGAAAGCAAGGTATGGATGTATTTTTTGTGGAACTGCTCATACTAAGACTGCTGTAGGAGGAGAATTCCAAAATATGTTCCCAGTCTAGACAGGATGAATCTTAGATTTGGGGATCAAATTTGATCAAATTAGGAAAACAAATACTACCTTTGTGTAGCTGCTTTTGTTTCCAGGCTGCATCACTGCTTGAAAGTAGAACCATGTCAAAGAAGAAAACTGATAAATATTGGGAAAAGTCATGGTAGTTGTAATAATAATTTTCAATTGTACCCTCTTCTCCCTAGGTAGACATATAGCTTAACTTTTTGTTGAGGTATATATGTATAATATTATGCTTTATGCTTAGGTTGTTTGGCTTTGTGAACCAATGCTAGATATTAAAATTGACTTCTTGCACCTTTATGATCCGGGTCTTTTTCTTTTGTGTCATTCCTATAATGTTAGTTCTGTAGACTCTCTGCCACCCCTACACACAACTTTTACAAGTCTATAATTAAAAAAAAAAAATCTAAATATGGCAATGGCTTTTTTTTTAGGGGTAGAAAAAATTTTTTAAGATGTTTTTCTTTGAGTATATTTAGGATTGTATTTCTTCTCTACATTTCTCTTACAAAATGGTAATTTATATATGAACAAGATAATGGGTGGGAACGACCTTGCTGTATATGTGTTGATCCTTACAAAAAACCAGTGAGAATATCTTGACTGGTGTAAGATTGGAAACTGCTCAAGTTAATCCAATATACGTTGCAAAATACTTAATTGTTTGATTTGTTTGTGTCTTTTCCTGTGTAAGCATTAATGTAGGGCTTCAGATTGTAATATTGCATCTTGTTGTGAAAGGGCAGCTCTTTCTGCCCATGGTACTATGGAGTCAAGAGTTTTTCAGATACAAGTCTAGGAACTTTAGTAGATGCACCCAAGCAATTTTAACATAAATACCTCTCGCAAAGCCAGACTTTATCTAAAGAACGTAGAATGGGTGTCTCTGAAAGTAATTTGATAAATACTGATAGTGCAAATAGTATTTTTCTGTTGCTCTAAATTTGAGTCCATAATAAATTTCTAAGTCGGTCTAAAATGCCTGAGTGTTAACCAAATATGTTTAACGTCCATAATATTTTAGAGCTTTTGCATCTGAAGTGTAGAACTGCTGGAACAATTATCAAGTTTGAGGCAGTAATGTGTAATGTAGTTGAAATGTAACAATAGTTCCCAAGTGGCAAGCATACCTTTGTCTTTGCTGTAAATGCTGAGATTATTATTTCAGTAGTAACTATACCTTAAACAATCTAAATTTCGTGGAATATTTTGCCTTTTATTTTAAAATAAGTTGTATACGTCATTATAACTTGTTAAGGTAAAATAACCAATTTTATTTGCTCCATTTAGAATCTTCCACAGTCTGTAATAGAAAATGTTGGAGGAAAAATCTTTACATTTGGATCCTATAGATTAGGGGTTCATACAAAAGGTAACATTTACTTTATAATAAAAACTCGTGTGTTTGAGGCAATGATGCATATATGAATGTCACACTTAAGTTACAATAACTTTCTGTCTTTTGAAGTGGTGTCAGATGTTTTAATTTTTGTCAGCTATCTCTAGTTTTCACTCTAAAAGAAATAAATTCCTGTATTATGCTTTTGTCATGGGTTGGGAACAGACCAAAAAATTGGGAATTATTTAAAAATAGAGAAAATTGTATGCTTGGCTTCTCATGGTTTGTTCTTTGACAATTGCTACAAACGTTCCATGATTGAAAGAAGAATTTATGTATGTATTCAGTATACTTAATGGCCATGAACATTTTTTAATTTTTTTTTCATTTGGTTTGACTTCGTATTCCCAATAAGAGCTGTTCTACAGGAAGAGAAACTAAATTTTCCTGTTTGGTTTCAAAAAAATTTATGGCTATTGCTGGCATTTCATGTGTGTGAACTGCGGGTAACTTACTTGTGCTCATAAACAATTTCAGGTGCTGATATTGATGCCCTGTGTGTTGCACCAAGACATGTTGAAAGAAGTGATTTTTTCACATCATTTTATGAAAAACTGAAACAACAAGAAGAAGTAAAAGATCTGAGGGTATGTGAACTGCCTGTTACAGCTAACTGAACTGCTGATGTTAAAAGTTAATAGTGGAAGATAACACATGAAATAAGTAAATATAACTTTACTGTTAAGGCTTGCAGTGGAATTTTAGTTAAACCTGCAGCAAAGTCTATCACCATAATTGAAATAAATAGAGATTCTTTCACATTTTCTCTGTTCGCACTTTATAGAGACACTCATTTAAAATTCTGGATGGTAGAATGATCTAGCATGTGTGTTAGTACAGCAAAATTGAAATTTCTGCATGTTCTCTGGCAGTAGGCAGATGCAAATGCAAGTGTTAGCTTGAAAAGGATCAGGACCAAACTTGTGTGTTTTAATGAAACTTTTAAGAACAGCAGCATAATAGTATACTTTGTAATTTCATGCTTATAGAAAGAACTACAGTGGTTGATGTTAACTGAACCTTCTATATTGGCTGTCAGCTGTGCATTTGAAAATGGAACTTAAATTTTTAGTATGTCTCATTAGATGCGAGATTTTTGGCATGTAAAGATGAAGATTTCCCTTGTAGGAATAGAAGACACACTGGTATACAGTATTTTGTTTCTAGTATACTTAAATGACAAACCTCCCTAAGCCAGCTGGTGGGAGCTTTAATGTTCTCAGTGTAGGCTCAGAGTAAATTTTCTCTCCTGCAATTCTTTTTTTCTTTTTTTTTTTTTTTGATAAAGATAGTTGCTGCCAAGTCTTGACCTTTGTTTGATTTAGTCCTGCTCCCCTAAAACAAATGGAGCTGTGTCTGCAGCATTCTTCCATTCTGTGCATGCTGTAGTTGGTAACTACCACGGTAGTGCAAACATGTGGCGGTAATATATGCACTGAAACAGCTGTTTGAATGCTTCTGAACACTTTTAGTAATCTTTAAATCCACATGCTGTAATTAAGAGGATTCTGATTTTCAAATTTCCAATTAAGTTTGTTAAGCTCTTATCTAACTCAAGCTAATGTAGTTGATTTAGCAGTAAGGTAGATCTGTGTACACTATTCTGTGTAGCTCTGCAATGATGCAAATAACCTTTAGGTCAGGGCGTCATGACACTTTTGATTCATTCCAACTAGGTCTGAGAAAGTTTTGTCTATCTCCATTTTTCGGGAACCTAGACTTTCTTAATGGTTGCTCTAGTGAGTGAGTCTGAGACCTGTAAGCTTCATATTTTGCTTAGGCTCCATCCTGCCAACCAGTAATATTAAGGTGACCTTAACTAAGGCTAAGTGCATAGGGTAGTGTGGTCACTTCATTTTGTTGAGAACTGGAACACTCTTAGAACTGTGTATAGCCTTTGTCAGTTCCTAAAATTTCTTATTTGAAGGTATGCAGTTCTCTTTGCTTTTACAAAAGCAGTGCTCTGCAGATCTGCACTTAGTTAAGGTGCTCATTTCAGGAAGGTGGTATTCCTAGCTGATCCCTGAGCAGACATCAAATTCCATATTTTCATCATGGATACGGTTTGTCAAAGTACCTTAACGACTACATCTAGAAAAGATGCTCAGACTCTGGAGACTGGTGACGTGCATCTGGTTTAGGTGAAGTCAGACTGCATAGTTGTACAGTTGTCTCCTTGTAATTTCTCATAAAATACTAACTGCAGAAACGATAGAATTAAGAGGACTCTTAGAGTAAGAATTCCCAGAGATTGGCCTTAGAATACTTAGAGATGCTTTGATGAATAAAAGATGCTTGGTCCTGTCCTACATGTAGTGAGAGAGTTGGACCTTTAGGTAACTTCATCAGAGCTGGTTGGTATGAGTTTGGGTTATAATTAATGTCTAGAGATCTTTAGCACATAGTAAATCAGTGCTTACTGCATAAATCCTCAGTGGTGGAGGAAGACAGTGCTGACAAAAATCAACTTGAAAACAGAAAAGCATCTGTATAAATAGCATTGCGTTGTGATTGTTTAGACCTGCTAGCTATTGCTTGTAAATGTTCTTCTCTATACTGAAAATAAAATATAATTTTTTTCCCCCCAGGCTGTTGAAGAAGCTTTTGTCCCAGTTATTAAACTTTGTTTTGATGGAATAGAGGTAAAGATAATATTTTATTTCATTTTGGTAGAATATGGTTAAAACAAAGTTTTCAAGATCTTCCTATCTCATGTAGTAGTCGTTAACATGAATGCTCTTGAAGTGACTCTAAGTTCATACCCAAGTCCTTGACAACAGTCTTCAGTTGTGTAATTTATAGTGGGGATGTAAGACTGAAACAAGTCTTTCTTGAGGTCCATAAAGCTGTGTGTAGAATATCTCCCTGGTACTTTCTTAGGCATTGCTACCCACTTGTACTGATCAGTTTACTGACCTGTAGAGTACCAATATTGGCATTATTAAGACTTAATATTTAATAGAAATTAATAAATAATATGGCTTCAGTAATTTTTTGGCTTCTAATTTTCAAAACTTTAAATTCAGATTTGCTTCAGTAACTTATACTATAGGAAGTTCTGTGTTCTTTGATCAGTTCTCAAAAATGGGCTGCTGAAAGCAAACTGACTATCCCCTTTGTCCTGATTGCTTTGGACATCTGTAAACACACGACCAAAGCAATGGTTCTGGTGCCTCTAGCCTGATGGATCAGCTGTCTTGGAGTGATGAACTTGCTTAACTTGATTTTTACAATTTTGGGAGAAGTTGCTGAGAAAACAGGAACACTGGTTTCAGATGGTACTCTGTTAATGTGTCTCAGACTGTTTTATAGTCAACCTGTCATCTTGGCGACAAGACAAAAACATATTAACTGCTCATACACACAGTTCATCAGACTTACAGTTGGATTATGGCAGCCAGTAACTGATGGGTATAAGAAGGGTACTTCACAGTGGGGAAGAGAATTCCCATGCTAATCTTCTGACACGTGACATGATTTGAAGAGCTGTGGTATTGTATGCAATACTGGACAGTTCGTTCTCTCCCAGTTGGAGTTAAATCTCTGCCTTGCAATTATAGTGGTCATTAGTTAGGGTACTGGCAGTTTTTGAGTCTTGGGAAGATGAACCACCCCCTTTGCCCTTATCCATCCAGCTTTACTTATTTGTATTTTCACTGACGTTTCTGTCAGTTGACACTTAGGCAGAGAGATGTATTTTCTCCAAATGAGAGAGATGTGCAGAGAAATGTAATACCATGCAGTAAGCTAGCCTGTGACTTTGCGTGTGTGTTGGCCACTTTATTACTGTCCATATACAGTTGGGTATTAGGAACACTTTTCTGGAGAATCTGTTTTCTCTTTACATAGCTTGGGTATTAATTCTAAATATTGAAAGTTGCCATAGGAGTCCTCTGGTTAGTCTGTTTTTTGTATTTTTTTTAAATCATTTATATTCAAGCCAGTGTTGTCTCTCCTTTTTTAAAAACGAAATTCCAAATACGAGCCTAAATAGGGAAATTAAAGGATTGTCTGCTGTAAGAGAAGTAGTATCTTGCTCCAATATAGGAATTTATTATGTGTTCTGGTGGCTTAGGTTTATGACTGAGACTTAACACATGTTGCTGAGAGTGCATGACAGTTCTCTGGTCTTGAACGCTAACTTATAAGTGCTGTTTTTATGTATAGTATCAGAAGATTTTAATTTAATTTTCCTTTTCCTAATCCAGGCAAAAGGTGTTAGAATTTTTTCTCTGAAAATAACAACTTAAAACTAAAGTTCTTTTCCTGAGTTCTGTGGCGATCTTGTCAGTTAAACTTCAAAAGTTTCTGCCAATACCAGTTTTTACAGCTGCATTTTATGTTCTTGCTTAAAATAAACAAGAACCTTCTTGATTTTTTTTTTGTTCTTCCTGTATAAAAATGATTTCCTGACCCCCTGTGCCTGTGTTCCCCTTCACCAAAAAAGATATAGGACCGGCTATTCGTTTCTTTGTTTGAAAAGTTTTGTTGTCAATGAACTTTAAATCTAGACCTAGAGATCAGAACAGAACTTCAAGCTGAAGTTAATTTTGAACTTGTTTTACTTGGAAAAGCAATATTTTTGACTTCAGTGGAAACTTCTATTTGTACTGCATGTTATTAAGACCAGCTATTAAACACTTCAAAATAAGTGCACTGAAATTACTTTTCGTTGGAGAAGTGCTTCGTAGGTTAAAACAGATGGATGCAAAATTTTAAGCGCTTAATGAAAGTTCTTCATTTTAAGATATCTTCAGCTTCGTTTTATGTGAAATAATTTTAATGTAACTAAAATGTTGTTTGTCCTTGGTGCAGTAGCACTAAGTATTTAATCGTCTTGCCAGGTGAAATGCTTAAAGGCCTCATCTGATGATGGGAGCTTCTTGCCTAGCAGACAAGTTGCTGATAGGCAATTTATATTCTCATACTGAGTGACTGATACCTAATCTAAGACTGCAAAGGCAAACTAACTTCTCTACTCTGTGTAATGTCCTTGCTCTGTATGGGACAGTGTAAAACTCCAGTTCAATGCTGAATTGTATCTTAGATGTTCTTGATGTAGAAAAGCTATGATGACACGTTATTGCAGAAGTAATAGCAAATAAACTTGACATAATTTCAGAACTTAACGTATTCATTCTTGCTCAGTAGCTTGCTGGATTTTCAGAGCTTCCTGTTTTCTGTAATCAGATATGCAGACTGTTCATAGATACTGGTCCTATACAGAGGCAACTAGTTGCATGTGTGCCAGAGTCTCCTAGTTTTTCTGTAATTCAGTGATAATTTTGGAGTATTTAGGTTAAAACTAGGTTATGTTTTCACGACTTGCTCTCATGTAGCAGAATTTTGTATTCTGGACCTAGAAGTGGTGCTTGTCCCCAAATGATTTTTATTTACATTAACAGTCCACATCATTTTTATGTGTGTGCTGGTTCTGTATTAGTTTTAATGTGTATTTTATCATCTTGGAAAAGGAGCCCTAAGATAGATGAAGCATCTGAAAGTGTTTCTTTTAATGTCTGTGAAGGGTGTTAGTGTGTATTTAAAGAGATTCTTTGTACTAGGAAGACTACTGTTCTTATTATTAGTTAATTTGATGAAAATGGGTTACAGAATTCTACAGAAGAAGGAACAGTTTTCTAATGTCTTATCTCTTTTTTTTAAGATTGATATTTTGTTTGCAAGATTAGCACTGCAAACTATTCCTGAGGACTTAGACCTACGAGACGATAGCCTACTTAAAAATTTAGACATTAGATGCATACGAAGTCTTAATGGTATGTATATACAGTTTTGCATATAAACTTCCCATCTAGTCTTTTAATAAGTGTCCTAGATTGTTTGATACAGTAGTTTAGTTGTGGACTTGACTGAAAATATAGCAACTCCATATCTGGAAAGGAAGTTATAGCCAGTTTTCTGTATCCTTTTGGAGAGAAGGGTTGTTTATTGTTGGCCAGATTTTGATAAAATTTTTTCTTTTATTTAGGTAGTAAATGGTTCTACCTAGAAATTAATGGGACTTGCAAGACTTCTGTGTGGAGCACTGTCTATTTCTAGAAATAAATGTGTGCGTGTTTTCTAATTTGTATGTGTTTTAATATGCATAAGCATACATGAAATTGCTTCAGTGATAAATTGGAGATATCAAAATACTGTCAGTTTGAGTTCAGGTCTTTAGTGGCTTGCCAGTTTGTGTAATCCTTAACTTTTCTGTAATACCACAGCTTAAAAAATTATTTAAGTATTGGATGGTAGGGGCTTCAACCAGTATGCAACTTGTCAAGGAAGAGGAACATGTGATATATCACTGACTTTTTATGAGCTGAAAACTTGATAATTTGAGATTACTACAGCAATTTGTGCTGTTTTGTGAAATTAACATTTATGTAGTCTCTAGAATTCATAGCTGCTTCTTGGCTGCTTTGAAAGGAACTTTTCTAGTGTTAGGTAATACCATTTTCTGGCAACTAGCTCTCTGCAACTATGTAGTAGCTATGAACAACTACTTGTTCTTGATTAAAAAGAAAAAAGCAGTTAATGTTGTAATTTGTAGTGTTATTCTAAGCCTGAAAATATCCCATCAAAGTAATTATACAACTCAAATGTCTAAAACATATTCTTTTTAGTGTGTTCTTGTGAATTCAAACAAAGATTTGACCAGATTTTCTGTAGGTCCATCAAGACTCATGCTTTTTTAAATTTGTCTGCATGTTCTATGATAGGCTGCATGTAATCCCGTAATAGCAGAATATGAAACTTGTTTGTTTCTTAAACAGCTTATACAGTTCATTAATAATAACAGAAAGTCAAGTAGCAGTCCAAAACTATAACTGTGTGCATGAATTATCTTACTGAGTGCTGCTGTAAAACAGTGAAAAAGGGAGGAAAAAACAAAACAAAAATGTTAAGCTTTCTAATTTAAAACAAAAGTGATCAAAATATGAAATGAGTTTCCAGCATGCTGATCTAAAAAGTCTGATAGCTTTGAAGGTGAGGGAGGGTAAGCCAGCAAAAAACTTCAGAGGCAACAACCGTAATGGATTCTTTCTTTTGGCAGGTTGCCGGGTAACCGATGAAATTCTGCATCTAGTACCAAACATTGACAACTTCAGGTTAACACTGAGAGCTATCAAACTGTGGGCAAAACGTAAGCAGTTTTATTCCCAAAAATTGTGAAGTTTTCATTAACTCTTATGGTTGCTGATAACTCTCCTTTTTGTCTCTTTCCTTCTCAATCCACAGGCCACAACATCTATTCCAATATACTAGGTTTCCTTGGCGGTGTTTCCTGGGCTATGCTAGTAGCAAGAACTTGCCAGCTTTATCCAAATGCAATAGCATCAACTCTTGTACATAAATTTTTCTTGGTATTTTCTAAATGGTATGTTTTTTATTTTAAATTTAGATTACACTAAAATAAAATTGTTTGTAGACACTAAATTTTAGTCCTGTTTTTATGGTATCACTTTCAGCTGTTAGCAGGTTAAGATGGTAGTTATAAGCATTGTTCTTGCTGCCAGAAAGTTGTTAGCTTCAGGTTTTCAATAAGTCATCCAACATATCTTGTTCTTAAAGCATTCAAAACAAAAACACACCGTTTTTAATTAAAATTTTCTTAAGTATGTCATAACTCAATATTATCTCTTCAGATAAAATACTTAGTGCAAAATAAGAGCTGACACCCCAAAATTCAGTCTTTTACCATTCAGATACTGGGCTAATGGGAAAAGGAGGAGGTATGTCAGTATCTGGTTTAGGCACATAGTTTAAATGCAGTTCAGGAGAACCAAGGGCAGAAGTGTGTTTTTTAGTCCTGTGAGTGTGGAGAGGTAAGTGTTTTGGAGTTACGTGTAGTTTCATACTCCTGCGCTAGTTACCTCAGAAAGATTGTTTGAGTAACTCTGATGGGAGCAGCGAGAACATTCAAAGTAAATTTAGAATGAATGGGACAAAAATGTACTTCGCAGGTTACAAATTAATACTGTTTTTCTTGAAAGAAAAAAAAAGTGTGTATGGATACCTATATTCTTCATGAGATATTGGCAGATTTTTAAGAATCATTGTACCAAGTTGTTGATTTAGTTCGAGTATATTGTCTTTCCTTCCTAATGTGAAGGTAATTTGCACAGTTTCATGGTCTTGAATCCATAGGATGTGTAGCTCTTTGAGGTACCTAGTGTTTAATAATACCATGCCACACTAAGGTAATAGAGGAAAATTGGTTGCAAGCTCTGTTCCGTATGCTGCTGTCCATTTTATCTGCATAGCACAGGAGCGTTAATGTACAAATACGAACAGATTAACTGACGTCTATTCTTTATAGGAAGATAACTTTGCTCATGGGAGTAGAGATAACTTGAAGGAAAAGTAACATTTCTGTTCCTCTTTCTTAGTGTTTCATTCAGCATGGTTTCTTTTTGTCTTGATTTGAATTTTTTTGAGACATGTGCTTTGTAACAATCCTATGATGCTGTAATCATGCTGGCTGTTTCTTCTGTAGTTTGTCCATGAAGCAGCTAGCTTGAAGATGGACCTGATGTCAATCTCCATAGACGAATTTATCTTTGATAGGTAGATTTCAAGAAGAATTTAGGAGAGTTTACTTTAGTTATCTAAACCAGTGGTTATAAAGTTCCAAGACTGCAGAAAAATCATTGCTCTGATGCCCTGGAGAAGCTAATTACAGCTGTATTGTAGTTCAGCAATACACCTTATTTAAACAACACCAGTTAGACCAGCTTAGTCTTGAGGAAATGATGCTATCTATACCTTGAGAGCAGGATACGAAGGATCACATTCAAAAGTATTGTTTGTTGAACGTACATGGTTGTATCCAATAGTCTTATTCAGTGCTACAATCTTTTTGAACAGGGAATGGCCAAATCCAGTGCTATTGAAACAGCCAGAAGAATGCAATCTTAATTTGCCTGTATGGGACCCAAGGGTTAGTGTGTTATTTTTTCCCCTCTAAGTCACACTGTACAATAAATTCAGTTGCTTAAAGAATCCTTGGTGAACTTCATTTTAGGTTTATTAAACTTAATATTTGGTATTATGTCATCTTTATAAGTAACCTCTAGTTCTTCTGAGTGTGGAACAATGTTAGCTTAACTTTGTAAACTGACCGCCTGAAGCACAGTTGCTGAACAATGTACTTTTTGCTCCCAACTTCTACAGTAAGTGATCTTAATAAATATTCAGTGTAATTAGATACATGCCTTAAAGCAATGCATTTTTAAAAAACTGCTTATCTTAAAACCAAAACTGTTTGTTTCTGACTTAAAACCTGTTTACTTTTCCGAGTCTATTGATTTCACTTCCGTGCAACAGTCATAGCTGGATAGGTTTGTTTCCATATAGTTGTAGTAATGTGTCTTTTCATCTTGGACCGAAGAAGATCATAACTTGAAATCTTAAGTTGTTTTGTATGTTATTTATAGTATTTGATCTCTGTAGCACCTATATTAAGGACATGGAACATTAATGTCCTTCAGGCAGTCAATAAAATGGCTTGCAGAAGATGCACAGCTCACGTTCTGAGGTTTCAGTAGGGCGTAGCGTGAATGTGTTCATTTCTGGTTTGTCAATTTTAGAATCGTTAGTGTTCAACTAATCTTTTGGGTGAATAGTGTAGGCACCAGAGGTTGAGTTATATGCCCTTTTTGTGCTTCAAATCTGTTTTTTTTCTGGTTGACAAAAGTCCACATTTAAATAATGTGAGACAGCTGAAAGTGTTCTTGAATCTTACTGTTATTCCTGGGGTAAGGGGTTCAAGGTCAGCGTGTGATAGGAACCGTCTATTTTGTAGTAGCTAAACAAAGTGGGGTAAGTTAATGACAGGGTTTTGTCCTTGCTGTCTACACATTGCTATCCTAATGTTATTTAAAATGTATTATGTGTGCGTGTGTTTTGTCCCTTTGTTTCCCTGTGTGCTGTTTAATAAAAGATACGTTAACACAAGCAATGCTTCTGTTAGGTCGACGAGAGCCTCTCATCTTAAGCTGGCTCTTTATTTTCAGTAGTGTTACAAAAATAAAGTGTAAAATATCTTTCACAAGGTCTGAAGACAGTCCTTCTTCTGAAGGTGCTCATGTGGTGATAAAGTATCCTTGTTTTGACATGATCACAAGCTTATTTCTATTAAAGAGAAAAATAGTTCTGTTCAGTTGATATTTCTGGACTTAGAAATGCCTGCAACTTGATCTTAATGTGCTGACAGGTTACAGCCCTCCCATGTGACTGTGGTTCAGAATAATGTTCTTTGTGGAAACATTATCCTTGTTTTCTAAACTTTCTCTAAACTACTGGTAAATTTACTTGGTCTGCAAACTAAGATCTCTTAGAACTTAAGACTCAGTTGTAGTAAAGGGAAAAAAATCCAAATTTGTTAACTCGTGTGTATGCTTGAAGAAAACTGATTGGCTGTTGTTATATATAGGTAAATCCCAGTGATAGGTACCATCTTATGCCTATAATTACACCAGCATACCCACAGCAGAACTCTACCTACAATGTGTCCGTTTCCACACGGATGGTCATGGTTGAGGAATTTAAACAAGGTAAGTATTATCTTATGCTCTCTATATGAATGTATTCAAACAGATGTAAAATAGTTCCATTGTGGGTATGCTCTGTGAGTGGGGAGGTGGGAGGATGTTAAATAGCTTCTTGATGTGAAACTCTCTTCCAAGGGAAGTAGAACTCGGTCTGTTACACTTGAAATTCCAAATTTGGTAGAGACTTCAGCAGATCTGTCCTTCACTCTTAGAAACTGAGGTTGATTAACTAGAATGCCTTGTGCTCTGGAAATTAGAATTAATGGTACAATATATTTTTGTTTATTTTTGTGGCTTTTGATAGTGTCCTGCCATTTGGAAGATTAGTGTAGTAATCACACCTGATGGCCAGTTCTAGGCCTAATGTAAGACAATATACTTGCTTGTAGATGAGCCCTCTAGATTTATCCTAATCATCTACTTGGATAATAATGATGGTACATAAAACATCATCAAAGCAAGGAGTAGACTTGATGCAGAGAGCAACTACTAGTAGCTCTCTCAGGCAGAGAAGTAACTTGTCTCGCTGTTTCTTTGCCTTTGCACAAGAGATAATTCAGGTACTGTAAGGAAAAAATAATCTTTGGACTGACTAGTTTAGTTACTGTGGCATACACAAAAGATTAAATTGAGCTATGTTACACTGATGACTTAGTGTATTTTTGCTTTGCAGTCTGATCGATTAACATACATTTCTAAATGTATTTTATTGATGTTCTTTTAGTAACATGGTTTGTGTAACTAATGACCACTTAATGTATGACTGGAATATAAAGGTGGTTGATAAATTCCTTTTAATTTGAAGGGGGGAAGTAATTCATAGTAACCTTTGCTAAGTTAAGCTGTTTTTATTCTGCGCACTAAACTGTATTTAAAAAAAAAAGTTGAAATGTTTTTTTTATAATTTAGGTCTTGCTATCACAGATGAAATTTTGCTGAGTAAGGCAGAGTGGTCCAAACTTTTTGAAGCTCCAAACTTCTTTCAAAAGTACAAGTATGTATTTTATGGCATGGCAGAATATTTTAAGTTTTATCAGTTAAAATATCTAATGATGCTCGTAGCCTAGGATCTTAAATATACATACATTAGACTTATAAATGTTTTGTTAGGATTTTTCTATACAGAGGGGGAGTGAGTGCACTATTGTCCTTTCTCATAGAAAGTGAATAATTTCCTCACGTACTTTTTTTTGCCTTTAGCATATATTTCAGAAACCTCTTAGTCCCTGGCCAGATATTTAAATATGGATATTTAGTTAACTTATACAGTTGGTAGGCTACCAATAAAATTGAAGACATATCAGCTGGTTTGACTAACAGAAGTGTTCTTCAGTGGTGTCAGTAAGCATTCTAAAAATGGGTCTTGCCTCCCAGGAAACAAGATATTAAAAACTAATTCTGAAGGTCAATGTTAAGATGAATACATACTTGAAACTGTGTTTTCTTCTGTCAATATAGTCAGCAGTTCACTCTGATAATAAAATATATTTTTGCAATTGTGTTGACTAACTGCCAGATGTACTAGTTATTACTAGATTATTTTTTTTTCCACTAAAGCTTAAGGCTTTTGGCTCTTTATTAATACTCTTTCACACCTAGCTTCTCTAATTTTGTAATGTCTCTAAGGGTAATACTGAAGTTGACACTTCACCTTTTTAGGGTTTTTAGTAGTATGCTTGTGGGGCAGAAGCTTGTTAAATGTATATGGACTTGCTGAAAGTTGTATTTTTATAATAAATATGATTATTAAAATATGGACTACATCTTCTTTGCCCTCAGTTGAAATTGGAGACCCCTTTTTCTTGAAGCAGGATCAAATATATTTTACACCTGTTTCTGTGTTGGGTGGTTGGTTGGTTATGTACTAATCTAAACAAGATTGAAATATACAGTTCCCCCATTAAAAGAGACTGATGACCTCCATAATGTGTCTGTGTTTTGTTTCTATAACTTTTGCATGATAAAAGCTTTAAAACATTTGGATGGCTTTTATGTTGTACCATGGAGATTAAGTTTGAATACACTTAAAAGAGCACTATAAAAATGTTATTTTTTTTAAGTTAAAAATGGGCTGCAGACAAATCAGTTTCTATTCAAGAAGTTGCTAGTAAGTTCCCTATTAGACTTTCTTTGTTTCTTTCAAAACTAGGAAAAAACCAGGAAATATTAAGTGTTCAAAACTAGGAAAAAACCAGGAAATATTAAGTGTTATTTGGAATAATCTCCATTTTAATACAGTTTTTTTTTGTGTACCAGCTTTAGCCATTTTGACAGTTTTAGCAACAAAAGCTTCTCTTGCCAACGTCAAGTATCCAGGTTTTCTGTTTTGCACAAAATGTCTTTACTTAAATTATTTTTTTTCCCTAAACCATGGAATGGTATTATGGAGCCTACTTTAATTTAAATTACCCAAGTTTTTCTCTGATTTAAAGAATTACAGCTTTAAAGGTTTGGTTAGTAACCTTTACAGAAAATAATCATTGTATGCAGTCATCAGTATGCAATATATGTGGCTCTGTTGGTCAAATCTCTATCTGAAAGCTAGATGTCAGATTTTGTTTTTCCTCTTCACAGTCTCCTATTTAAATTGTAGA